TATTTCTTTGAGTTTTCGATATTCTTATAAATTCCGTCTTCTTGACATTCATTGTTAGACCATACTCTTTTCCATACTCCGCTATTCTGGTCACCAGCCTCTGAAGATCTTCAATATTTTCGGCTAAGAGCACAGTGTCGTTCGCATATCTAATGTTGTTAATGGAACTCCATTTACCTTTATTCTAGCTGTTTCACCCTCAAGAGCGTTTTTAGGATCTCTTCGGAGTAGGCATTAAAAATAGTTGGCGACAATACGCATCCCTGTCTCACTCCACATCTAATTTCAATTTCTTCTGACAGCTGTTCGTTAACACGTACTTTTGCTCGCTGTTTATAGTATAAATTTGATATGATCCTGAGGTCTTTGTAGTCAACCTCCTTTGATTTCAGGACATTAGTTAATTGTTTATGTCGTACTTTATCGGATGCTTTATTATAGTCAATAAAACACGCGTATATATCTTGATGAACTCAGTCCTAAATGTCTAATAATTTTAGTAATTCTTTTTGTGCTATTTTGATCAAATTTCTATTCAGGAGAGGGCACTTTAAGGTCAAATTTTGACTTTGGCTGAAAATATTTATAAATGGAAAGTTTCAACGAAAATTAATGAATACACAATTCCATTATTCATGAATATTCTTCTTTTTACAATTTCAAAAAAGAACATTGGACAAACAAAAAATGCCAACAGTTTTTTTGCTGTCAATAGCCATATTGTATTGTAAACCGGTCGTACTTGACCCAGCTGGCTTAATAAACATCTTCCATTTATTCATCATATCCATTTCAGAATTCTGAAGTCCTGTAACAGCACAGTTTGTACAGGTCTAGTGAATCGGTAACATATGTTTTTGGAGGAACTTGGTAGTCCCCAAAAAGTGTCTGCCGCCTGAGATTCAGTGCTTCACTGTCATGCAAGATATGGTTGACTGTTTCAGGTCCTTTGTTACCTGTGATTCTGAACTAATGTCTGGTTGTTTTCCACAAGAAGGTAAACGTCCTTTGAAATGAAAAACATCTTTTTCCAGAAAATTCTTTGACTTTTGTTAAAATCAACTAATAGATGTGGCAACAAACTTACCATTCATCTAGCCGTTCAAATAATAGAATTCAAGAACTCGTGATCAGTGAATGCATGTACTGGCCGGTCGTGATGCAACGCCTTAAAAAACTGTTTTCAGTGTCATTATTTGTATTTTTTTCATTTCCGCTGGTGAGTTTTGTTATGCAGTGGTCAATTGTTTGTAGAATTCATGCGTACATATATTAATTGTATTCTGTGTTTATACGTCCACGAATTGTATAATTTTTGTGTGGGTTACGTTGATTAAATATGGATGGAAATACTCTTTCATCTCCAATAAAAAGATAAACAAAGACATTTAATTGTTGATGAAAAATGTGTAATAATGAACACTTATAAAAAAGCATCCCAAAAGTTAGCAGAATAGGAAAATGCTGTAAAATTCACTTCTGAGGCTACAGTTAACTATTAGCATTATGTCTACTATAATATTAATTATGTTTTTATAATTAGGGTATCAACAAGACATTAGTACATAATGATTTACATAAACATCGTGAAAATAATGGTGAATTTAGACCATCAAAAGCATATAATAAAGGGAACGAAGTACTCGATGAAGTTTTATATGAGCATAAGAATATGATTCATCGGATAGTTCACAGTTTCTTCTTGGATAATGAGCTTTCAAGAAATCAAAAAATTGTGCAGAAAAGTTCTGAAAATTCTAGCATAATTATTTTTAAAATATTTTATTTTGCAGCTTTAAGAAAAGATTCCAAAATAGTGTTAATGGATGTTAAAGGAGAAAATGAGATGATATTGTGGAGGCGTCGATACTTGCGATGTATAAAGCAATATAAACAGGAAAATCGAAGTATCTTCTACCTAGATGAGATTAGGGTCAACGCTGTCCATACTGTTGACAAAGTTTGGAGTGATACGTCAATTACCAGTGCTCGAAAGCGTATGTGGAAGGACTATCTACAGGAGTGAAACATCCTTTTGGAAAAGGAAAAAGACTCATTATGTTACATATCTACAGTTGGGTTTGTTGAAAATGTATTGCTCATGTTCGAGTTTAACACTTTGGCTACTGGCTATAAATTTGAAGTTTTTCTGAAACTATATTCTGGTAAAATTCACAATATTTAATACTAAAAACATGTAAATATCAACATTTAGGTATTTTTTTGAAAAAAAATCATGTGTAAGGGCCGTGTCAAAAAATGGTACAAACAGTTTGTGGCAGAAATAAATGCGTAATTATCTTCTTAGAAACTATGTGTACCATTTTTGGACACAATGTTCATTTTTTTGCTTGACAGTAATGAGTGTCAAAAAAGCAGTTGGTACACAAAATTTTCGTTTTGTTTCTTTTATAGCAAAGTTACGTCCATTTCTAGCACTATTATTTTTATAACATCTTGTACAACGACCTCTCTGTTTCACTTCGGAAAGTTTGTGATTTCTTTCTTGGTTAACACGACGATCATCCAAATTTTTCATCTGAATATTTTGACTACGAAAAATGTCTGAGGCGATTTCTTCTCTAAATTTAGTGATACTTATCTTTTTGTTTGTTATAGCCTCGTATGCAGTATGTGCATTTATAATAGATGTGTTAACCAAAAGTTCAATTGAAACTTTCCTATACCACTTATTAATACCCCTACGCACTGCTGATGAATATGATGCTTTTTGATTAGAGACGTCTATAAATGATTTCACATTATTATACTGCACGATTGTGGAAGGCTTTCTCACGACACCCCTTTTTGTTGGCACGTCCACTATTTCAGGCACAGACTCCGTAGTGAGAAACATGACATCTCTTTTGTCTTTCCATTTTCCAATTATGATTTTACTGTTACTCTGTCTCATGACTAATTCACCCCTTTTTAATTTAGCCTCACTTACTACTTTTGGATTATGCTTATTGTGTTTTCTCAGTGTGCCTATTGAATGTGTATCTTTGTTCAGAAGTTCGTGTGCTAAATTCACGCTAGTGTAATAATTATCTGTGCACAAAACGCGACCTGAATGTAAAAGTGGTTCCATAAGCTGTAGCACCACTTTTGTACCAATTGGCTTTTCATTAGGTGTTTGCTCTTTTCCTGTATAAATTTTAAAATTGTATGTGTAACCTTTCACTCTACATAGTTTAAATAATTTCACACCGTATTTGTGACGCTTCCCCTGTATATATTGACGAAAGCTCAGTCGTCCTCGAAAAGGAATCATCGTCTAATCTATACACACATTCTTGTCAGGAGTATATGCTGATTGGAACTTCTTGATTAACAAATTTTGCAAGGGAAGGAATTTTTTGAGCCTATCATCTGAGGCAATTTCGTTGTTTGAGAAGTGCAAGTTGGACAAAAGAAGCTCAAACCTTATCCTGGACATGTGAACAAATTTTCCAATTTCATTTTTGTACAGCATATTGGTGCTAAAATAATCTTTCAAAGTGGGTTTACGATCCAAACCCAGCCATATTAGAAGACCTAAGAAAACAAATAATTCGAATTGATTTGTGTTTCTCCATTGTCCCAACAATGTTGTTTTTGTTAATGTTTCATTTGTAATTCCTGATACTATTTTCTGTTCAGCATATCTGTTGGTTTCCTCGGCAATAAGTGATAAGATATCGTTGTCAATAAATATTTTATAAAAATGAATTGGATGATCTCCTTCCCTTTGTGCAAAAAAGCTTTGGGAGAATCCTGAATCTTCCGTGAAAGTAAATGTGTTCAAATTACCTACAAAATTATAAACTCAAAACTATAAAAGTGAATACTAATTTATATATTACCTGCACAATTATTTCAAATGACATTAGGATTAGGATTATTTAAAAAATTATCAGGTTCAGAATCGTTGTTGAGAGATTCTAGATCAGATTCGAATTCTAACTCTTGCCCATCACTGTTAATTTCTAAATTAGAGGAAGAAGAACACGAATCTTGATCATTTGGATCATCTATATCCATAGCATCACCATCATCATCTTCACTAATAAACTCATACTCCATTTCACTCATATTCTCGGCTATTTCACGTAGTTCAGCATCACTTAATTTTTTATTTGACATTTTAAGTACTAATTTTAGAACCGTAAACACACAAGACTAATATTGCACAAACAACAAGTTTCTGCAAGTCAGAAAATGGCCATAATATGTCATCTGCTGAAGGAGTCTCAAACTGCTCCGCCATAATTTTAAAAAATCGGCCATAGTACAGCCATCTGTTGATTAAGTCCCAAACTGCTTCGCCAGAATTTAGCAGTAAACTGTAGGAACCTAGATACGCATTTAAAACCATCAGAACTGTGTTCACCAAATGTACACACAGCTTGAAACATTACCATTTCATGTGACCAAATTTGGTACACACAGTTTCTGGTAAACATCAACTGTGTACCAGAAATGGTACACACGGTAGCCAAAGTGTTAATAAAAAGGGTTACTATCACGCAGACATGAATTCTGATCTTTTCGACGAGTGGTTATAAAGAGTTTTGTCAATTTTACCTGAAAAAATATGAAAAATTGCCAACCAGTGCCACGTGAAAGGCTGGTATCCAAACGACAAAAAAATATTCCATACACTAACGATATTTTCAAGCCAGAACTGTTAACATTGGTGAAAAATCATCCTATAGAACAAAACTATGTGGGAGACGCAATGATTAAACTCATGGTTAGGCGATTTATGAAGTTGCCACCGTACCATTGTGAGTTAAACCCCATCGAATTAATTTGGGCGCAAGTAAAAGGCGAAGTTGTGAGAAATGCTGTAATTCATATAGATGGCATTATATCCAAGATGTGGCAATTGGATGTTATCATCAAACAGTATTTAGAACCTATATTTCAAACAAATCCGGTAGAGCGTGTGCAAAATAAAATTTGAAAATCTAACGTAACACCTAAAAGGGCTTAAGAATGTAAGAACATAAACTTACCATCTGTCATGTATTTTATCATAGTTTCGGGACTTGTACAATCTTCGAATCGAATGGTGTAACCAACCTCTTGTCCCAAACGACAACCGAATTCTTCAGCAACTCTCTTAGCTACAGACATGGCTGCTACTCTTCTTGGTTGAGTACAACCAATTTTTCCTCTAGATGTAAATCCAGCTTCAGCTAAGTACTGTGTTATTTGTGTTGTTTTTCCTGAACCAGTTTCACCAATAACTATAAGAATTTGATTGTCGGTTACGGCTTTTCGTAATTCCTCTTTGAGCTTATATATTGGTAAGGATTGACGTTGCTCTATTATTGTTAAGTTAGTCTTCTTACCGAATGATGATTTTTTACCACCTAAAACAAAATGAAATGTTTACATTTAAATGATTTAAACGTATGTATATGTAACAATAAAACATTGAAAACTTTGTTTTCAAACTTCCACAAAATTTATTTTAACTCTTATCACTACAGCTGTTTTGGCTGATTGCCTTTCTCAAGTGATCTATTTTTGGCTTGCGTTTACACTTTATAGTCTCTAATGAAATAGGTTGAGGAGGGGAGAACTGTTTGTCTCAAGTTGGTCATTCAGAATTATAAAGATAGCTCAAAGCCTTTATTTTGAATGTGAAGAATTTTACATTTGTCATTAAAAGAATGATTATGATCTAGAAGGTGAAGTGCGTATGTCGAATCTGTCTTTCTATTATTGAAAGCCCTTTTATGTTCTGCTATTCGTTTATTAAAGTTTCTACCAGTTTGACCGATGTAAGTTTTTGGGCAGTCGCCACATTTAAGTTTGTACACACCACTATGTAAGTGTTTTTTATTTTGGCTCTTGTTATTTTTGATATATTTGCCTAGGTTGTCCTTTCTTTTTTATGTGTTTGGCTATTTTTGTTGTTATTTTGCCTGTATATGTAATCGAGCAGAAGGTACTGGGTTTTTTCTCTGGTGGTGGAAATACTAATTTCAGGGCTTTCTTGTGTAGTTTTTGATTTAACATTTTATTAATTGTTTGTTCGTTGTATCCGTTGTTAACTGCCATTTGCTTAATTATATTTAATTCTGTCTCAAAGTTGTATTTTGACATCGGAATTTCTGTTAATCTATGTAACATACTATGATACGATGCCAGTTTATATTGTGTTGGATGGGATGATGAATTGTGTATAGTCGTGTCAGTATGGGTAGGTTTATGAAATATGGAGAAGTCATGTTTGTTTTTAAGTCTGATAATTTTCAAATTTAAAAAATTTATGTATTTATTTTGTTCTGTTTCTATTGTAAATTCAATATGACTATAAAGTGAATTAATATACAATAAAAATTTGTCGAGTTGCCTGTTATGTGAAACATACCAGTACGTCGTCTACGTATCTCCACCAATATAAAAACTGTTTGAATACGGGATGTTTTGAAATCTTTGTCTCTGGATGATCCATAAAAATATCTGATAGCAATGGGCTTAGAGGATTGCCCATTATAAGTCCTGCACTGTTATTTGTATATATTTGATTATTAAATTCAAAGTAGTCCTGGTTACATCTTCTTGAAGTTTGCATAAACCAGGACTAGGGCGTAGAGTAGCATAGAATACTAAAGAGGAACTTACTCTACAGTCTATAATATTATTTATATCGTACATGATAGAACGAACTAAAAAACTAGGATTCATGCTGCAACAAAATATCGTTTGACTCACATAAAATTTGTGTTTGTATTTTACAATTGAAAATGATTCATTCTAGCAGTAGATGTTGAAAATGTAAACCAAATATGTAGGTACGTTTTGAAAGAAACAGTAATAGAGTGAGTGGAAGTAATAAGGATAAAATGGTTAAAATTTCTAATAATAATAGACAATAAAAGAATACGAAAAATTGGACAAGTTTTGTCATATAAAACAATGGACACTTAAACAGGATCTTAATAGAACGACCGAAGAGATTGAAAACGAAAAAAATTGATGATTTTTTCTTTTAGACAATTTAATTCGTAATTGATTTATTTATTTGGAAAATATAGTCCACTAAACCACCGATAATAGGCAGCTCAATTATATTGTTTTTGTCTAACTAATAACGCAGACGATTTTGGCATTTAGAAGAATGAAAATAAAATTTAGAATAATATACCTATTACATGTTTTTTCCATTCTGGTAAATCTTGAACTTGTAAGCCAATTCCTCTGCCCATCATTCTTGATTCGTCCTCTGGAAGAGGATCTATCCAACTCTTATTCTTACCGGAAGGCTGGGAATCGACCTCCTGTTCCCGCTGAATCATTTTCTGTTCCCGTCTTTCTTTAGCCAAAGCGGATTGCATCATGGCAGCTTGGGCTAACGACCCGTCTGGATTTTTGACTATTCTTACAGGACTAAGATCATGTAAGGCTCTACCGTGACCTGTGAAAAATAATAAGTAGTATTAAATATATGACACTGTTCATATCAGTAATTTAAACATTCTAAAAGAAAACATTAAAGAAAATACAAATAAAAATATTATATTAGATATGAAAACCAAATATAATATAAAAAATTGGAGAAAATTCTAACTTTAATAGTTTAAATCATACACTCAACTATACAGATTATTAAGTTCCATTTCGGTAAATATATTTTGACCATTTTTAATTCGTTTTATTTCTTCAGGCCTATAAAAATATGCATTACCCACAGTACTTTCTTACAGTCACAGTTCATGCACTTCACTTTTACTAAAGTGTTAACAAGCTTACATATCCTTTAAGTGTTGCTGCTATTAGCACCGTATCATTGGCATATCTCAGATTGTTAATTGAGATCCAGTTGATTTTAATACACCTAATAGAGGCGAGAGGTGATGGCAGAACCTTCCCTTTATTTATATATTTCAAATTGTTTTATGGTTGATGTGTTTATTAAGAGCCCGACAGTGTCGTTGGACGTCTGTCTATTTTTGCGAAAACTGTTGGAGGAAGGCTCCTAGAGTCTTGAAACTTAGCCCTCTTGGACCAAGTAAGATCCCTATTGTATTTGCGTCAACGTGTCAAATGTGGCCAACAAAATAGAACGAGGATAGTCTTGAAACTTGGTATATACCATAATCTTAGTGTAAATTTTGGAACGTTATAAACATCAGATTTTTGTTATTTTGTTTCTTCCAGAAATAGTTTTCGCTCAACTTTTCTAAAAATTTACTAAATATTATCTTTAATTCATATTCTTCAATTTAAATTTTCATTATTTCAGTTCAATTCTCATTTATCGCCATAGTATACTCCCAGTATAGTAACTTTGATTTAGTTCCAACTAGTTATAATATTGTTTTTTAAGTAGTTTTATTTTAATATTTCTTAATGAATTAATTTTTCTTAAGTCCAGGCTTCTCCAAACAATTTTCAAAAAATCGCATTTTTTTAATTGCTAGAAAATACTCTTAGAAATAGTAGACTACAGGCTAATGGGAGATTTTTAATGGGTCATTTGACCCACCACGAATCACATATAAATCAATATGTATTAACAAATTTCGAAAATATGTCGTTAATTCTTATCGGTACAAGGGATTCACAGGTAAGACAAACTTACCATTGAAGAGGGCGGGAACAAACATATTTGTTATAACTTAGGTAGGTAATAGAAAAATAATGACCTTCGATCTAATGCCGTACAAAAACATTGGTACCAGGAACAGGGAAAATTTTTTACTTTCGGAAAACTTTTTCCCAATTTTCGGCAATTTGATACAGTACGGCATTCATACACAAAGTTTTGGGATCGGCATATAGATTTTTTTTTTGTAACGCCGTACATTTCAGCTGGAACAGGGGTGAAAAATCTAAGGCGCAACCCTTACTTTAAACCTCCATGCTAACGATAAGAATTGGCGGCATAGTTGAATCGGCATATAGATTTTTTTTGGTAACTTCGTATATTTCGGCTGGAACAGGGGTGAAAAATCTAAAGTGCAACTCTTACTTTAAACCTCCATACTAATGATAAGAATTGGCGGCATAGTTTCTAAAGTTGTTATTATCGTAGTAATGATTTATATGTATATTGGTTCAAATGACCCTCTAAAAATGTCCCATGGGCTTGTAGTCTATAGTATAGAATTAGTCCTGAAGGACCGCGCAATCGAGAAGTAGGTACAGAAGAGAGGAGAGCGGTACGCGCCAAGCGGAGAATCCAGTCGCAAAAACTTTAATCGGCTTTTCTTGAAACCACGTTTTTTTAACTAATTGTCACTCGTAATTTGAAACTATTGCAATTTTATCAACATGAAGCAAACGGTACTTTATTCTTTATATGTCTTTGTATGGACTATGCTACAACCAAAAATATTCATTGTTATATTTAAAAAAGTATTAAAAAATTAAATTGCAAAAAACGGATCGAAAAATTCAAAAGTCTGTCATTTTGTTTTTTTTTCAGTGTTTCAGTGAAAATGTAGTACCGACGATAGCCAATTTGATACAGAATATGAATCCATTTTTTGCTTTCGGATGATTCATTTCCAAGAAATGACGACATTCACCAACTAATTGGACGAGTTTGAGCAGCCATTTTCAAAGCCACCATTTCGAAACAAAAAAAAAATGAGTAGTTAAATGTATTGGATATCATAACGGCTATGGTCACTTTGTTGGCTGCTGCTCTAAAAAGTTGTAGTGAACTACAGTTAAACCATTCTCTAAGGTTCCTCAGCCAAGAGATGCGTCTTCTTCCTATGCTTCTTCTTCCTTGGATCCTTCCTTGCATAATAATTCTCAGCAACTCAATTTTTCTCCTCTGGTTATGTGACCCAAAAGTAGATGTGTAGAGTTCGTTCTGGCATCAAGATCGGGTATCTTCGGCTCGTGTTCGTTTTTCAAGATGGCGGCTCGTGTCCGAACGTACCTCGTGTCTCGGGACCACGCCCCTCGGTCAATGGCAACGTAGGAACGTGGCTCGTGTCTCTAGGCCACGCCCCTCGGCCAATGGTGACGTAGGAACGTGCCTCGTGTCTCTAGGCCACACCTCTCGACCAATGGTAGACATCCTCGTGACGTTAGAACCTATCCTCGACCAATGGAGGCATAGGAACGTCCTTCGTGTCTTGCTGACCAATGGCGGACGTCCTCGTGACATCGAAACGTATCATCGACCAATGGTAGCATAGCAGCTTCAGTGGTGGGAATAGCAACACCCCCAGCGACCAATGACAGCATAGTAACGCCTCCTCGTGACGTTAGAACCTATCCTCGACCAATGGTAGACATCCTCGTGACTTTAGAACCTATCCTAGACCAATGGTGGACATCCTCGTGACGTTGGAACGTATCTACGACCAATGGGAGCATAGAAACGTCCCCCGTGTCTTGCTGACCAATGGTGACATAGGAACGTCCTCAATGGGAACGTGTGCATCAACGTCCAATGAGAAAGACGTGCATGGATGAATGAGGGCTCACAATATTAACGAAAAGACGCCCCCATTCCCCCAATATCAACGAAAAGACGCCCAAACGCCCCCCACTCCCCAATAATAACGAAGATTATGTCTCAACGTATGCTAATGAGAACGATGTAATGAAAATACGCCCAAACGCCCCCCACTCCCCCAATAATAACGAAGATTACGTCTCGCATTTGAAATCTTTATAAATATATTCTGCTATCATCAAATTCGATACATCAGACTATTCTAAGAATAATGACATCACCCGGATACGTCGGCTATTAAAAATTCCTCTCACGATATAACCGGAAACACATGTACATATTTCTAATATTGTTCTGAAGCTATTTTCTTGTGGCATTGTAAATTAATTACTATTTATAACTGGGAATAAGCCACAATTAAAGATAAAAAATACGTTTATTGACGTTTCAATTTCCAATTCGGAAATCGTTCTCAAAATACAAACAGTAAATTAAACAAATTTTGTTTTTTGTTACATAGTGAAAAAAATCTTCTAATAATTTAATTTTATCTGACTCATTTATATTGACAATTCAGACATACATTATGCATTTTAAAGTAGACGACTTTAAAATGATATTGCCAATATTGTTGAGTTGCGCTCCTGGGACGACTTTACTATAAGATAGTTCATTCGATTACATGAAATCAACTTTAACTTGAGAATATCCGTCAGAAAAAATCATAGCATGTAATTCGTCTTTAAAAAGACAAACACATGACATGATGACAGTAAAATTCTCCCGTTAGTGATTCCATAGTAAATTATGAGGGAAAAACCAGGAAAAAAACCTCATAATACTATCCCGACATTGTAAGTATTTGTTCGTGAATTTAGTTTACCTTCAACAAACATCAAAATTCTGATTTTATATGTTACGTTATTTAAAAAACATAAATGATGTATCCTCTATATGTTACTGACTTACTAATACTGGTATTTTCTTATTAATAACTTCCTCTTTCAATATTGGTAACCAGATCCTACTACATTCTGCCGAGGAATTTGCGACACAATCACTAACGGGAGAATTTTACTGTCATCATGTCATGTGTTTGTCTTTTTAAAGACGAATTACATGCTATGATTTTTTCTGACGGATATTCTCAAGTTAAAGTTGATTTCATGTAATCGAATGAACTATCTTATAGTAAAGTCGTCCCAGGAGCGCAACTCAACAATATTGGCAATATCATTTTAAAGTCGTCTACTTTAAAATGCATAATGTATGTCTGAATTGTCAATATAAATGAGTCAGATAAAATTAAATTATTAGAAGAATTTTTTCACTATGTAACAAAAAACAAAATTTGTTTAATTTACTGTTTGTATTTTGAGAACGATTTCCGAATTGGAAATTGAAACGTCAATAAACGTATTTTTTATCTTTAATTGTGGCTTATTCCCAGTTATAAATAGTAATTAATTTACATATTTCTAATTAAGCGAGGCATGTGTTGTGACATAAAATATATTACTGAGAATGGTGACATCATTGTCGGCTATTAAGAATTTCTCTCACGATATAATATTCACACGAACGCCGGAAAACATGTGGATATTTTTTATATTTCTAATTAAGCAAGACATGCATAAATGAATTTTCTCATGATTGCACAACATAGTTTTAGCGTGGGAGAGGCAGTTAGATAAATAGCAGACGCTATACAATCATCAGTTCAATTCAGATCGTCGTTTAGACAAGTTGTGTGCAAAGTACCGTTTGGAGAAGTTTCTGTGTTTGTGGAGTGTCGGCAATTATACAAAGTAAGTTTTATAATACTTAACCTTTTTATATCATTTAGAATTCATCATTATCTTTACTAATTAATTGTCAGTTAAAAGTATAATTCCCTAATAATTATTCTGATTTAAACATTTTTATTGAAATGAAATTACTTGGTTATAATCTATGTTCTAAATAATGCGGTAATTCATGTTTCTATGGAAGTTTTG